GACGAATAGTCAGACAAAGAAAAGAAACCCCCCATAAGACTGTAACACTTCCCTCCTCTATTGTTTCCCTCTCTTTTCCCTTTCCCTTGATCTCCATTTTGCTGGATGATTCTTTCACGTTCTTTGACATGGGCGAGGTGTTCCACTCATTGTCCGTCGGGGCACGCGTCTTGAACTCCCTCGCCACCTTTTCTTCTTTTCGAAGTGCACGCCATCCTGGACACGCATCCGTGCACGCACCATGTAACGTCTTTGCTGTCGCATGCCGGAGACATGACCCTCCCTCCTTTAGCCACAGGATACTTTGACTCGTTTTTGACATGCATCCATTTGGGACGCAGGTGTGAATGCACACTTCGTATCCCTTCATCTTGATGTGAGATCTTGAAGGAGCCATTTGGTCTTCCCATGATGATTAATTCATATCTGAAGAGAATGGTAATCATTACATACGTACTGCAATGTAGGTTCAAAGGGTGGATATGGTGTATGGTGTATGCAAGACAGTAGTCAAACGATTGTTTCCTTATCTGATGTCCCCAACGAGGATGATGCAGCAACATTATTGTGTGGCATCAGCTTCGCAAACTGCTTCCATCTATGTATAGCGCCCAATGGCGTTCAATACAATTACTACATGTACTGATCCACAATGGTCAATGAGTATTTGACAGCTCAAACAGTGCTTGGACAGTGGTTGAACACTGCTCAAACACTGCTCAAACAGCGCTCGAACACTACTCAAACCCACACCTAGAATAACATTACGTGTTATATGTGGCACAGTTCAATTGTGTAGGATAGGCACATGTTTTCTAGATGCTACCATACCTATAGGTCCATACCATATCATGCAGCGCATGTCCAAATGTGTCGGCCAATACTCCCAATCTCATTCCCTTTGTATATCCAAAGAGACTCATTGTATGCGACCACTCAACCTTGTTTACAAAATATGATGCAGTGTGAGTGCGGTCGTCAACGTGAATCCCAACGTCCATTCTGCAGAACAGACCTAGAGATGTATTGGTCTGGACCGAGCTGTATTTGCGTTGTCACAGGGCAGTGTACGTGTCCATTACAAACTTTGTAAAGGCATCGTTTGCCTTTTCCCATCTCGTGTGCTTTCCTCTCATTGGATTGGCGAGGGATACTACACTCCCATTGTATTCCTTCTTGCCGAAATACATATGCCTGCATGGTGTTGTATATGAATCATTCGTATGAGATGGGGGAGAACCAACTCACATGATCTCATCTAGGCTATAATGCCCAGTGATAATCTCTGACTTGAACGCGTCCATGCCAAATGTGTCAATGGTATCAACCGTGTAGATGATCTGAACGATCCTTCCCTTGATGATATATACTCTCCATTCGCCTAACTCCCTCAAGCTCTTGACAAACTCCTGCGAGATCCATGTACTACGTGGCCCCGATCATTTCTGGAGGTATCGTAGCATTTGGCGCTGTGCGTGGTCAGGCCTGAAGTGAACGGGAAAGTAGATATGGCTACCCATGTTGGATGGAACCCACTTGAGGACAGTGTCTCGAGGTATCACCGTCATCGGATCGTCGACATCTATCTCTGTCCAGGATGGGCGATACGTCTTTGTTACTGTCTTCGCAACATCATCCAAAAGTTGCAGTAGGTTAGTCTTGAACGCCAGTCGTTTCATCGCTGTCCTCGTAGGCCAGAATAGAACATCATATTTGATATCATCATATGTCTCCTCGTATGTCTCAATCTCGTCCATGCTCAGGTTATATGTTGTCGTGATACTATTCCATCGAGAATTCAAGGGACCTGAGACAGGTTGAGAGCATAATAGGGACTCACTCGTATGCAATGGTATAGTCGATTCCACCGATAACAACGTCTACCTCTTTCAACTGCTGAATTGTTTCTTTGTTAGCAATTGGATCCAGCATTGCATCTATGAATGTATCCCACGACATGTAGGTGACGTCCCACAGGTTTCCGTTCTCCAGGGATGCCATCAGCATGGCTACCCATAGCTTTTGAAGAATATGATAATAATAAAGGCGTTTGTCAGTTTAGAGATGGAGGTGGCGATGTGAAGACCCATCCTTACCCAATCGTATATCACCGCCTGAATCATCCTGACGTCCGTTACTTCATGCGGAACCAATGATAGATGAGCATGTCTGGTGAGGTGATTGATAGTATTCCACTGCTCAACCAATATCGTACACAGAAGGTAAGAGTTGTCTAATGCGGCAAGCTGTGCAGTTGTACTCCTAGTGGGGTCTGGTATCATGATGAGACTTGCCTGAAATGGTGTGGCGGACGATGACAACGACGATAGTGATGATGGTGATGACAATGATGGTGATGACAATGATGGTGATGAAGATGGCCAGACAGGTTGAACTTGAGGCTCTACTTGTCTCTCATTGCCCTTTGTCTTCTTTCTGCTGTTGACGTTAACCTTCAAACCCGACCCAGACCCAGATGCATCTCCTTGGATCGAACTTTGACCTGAACGCCATTCTGACAATGACACCGTCCAAGAGACAACATTGTCTACTTCCATCGCATCCACATTGTACTTGTGTTTGTCCTCCTCTTCCTTCTCCTCTTCGTTATCGTTGGCATCGCCCCCACTGTCTGCATCCACATTGATGACCTCTTGTCTACCATAATGTTCAATGGACGACTTGCTGGATGATGGTCCTGATAGAGATGACGCTGATAGGCCTGTGTAGTGCATGGGCATGCCTCGAGTCGTACTCAACATTTGAAGCGCTCGAAGCTTCCGCCTTCGGGGACGACCGCGATACCTCGACACAAACATGCCTTTGAGCAAAGCCCGCCCTTCGACATTTGCGAAGTTTCACAATCTCACAACAATCCGATCGGGATCTTTTGGCGGCAGCTTTATTCTGGGGGCTTGACTTCGAAGACGAAACCCCATCATCCAGAGATTGAGACATACAATACAGGGCCGACGGGTAAACCTTTAAGTCAATGTGCTCGGGTCGCAACGGTCGGGCCTCCAAGACTAGCAGGAATAGTGCAGTGGACGGGAATGGGAAACTGATGGAGACGTCGGGCGGGAGTAGGAAGGATATCGGGATTGTTTGGCACGGTCAGGGCAGTGGAGGCGGTGACTCAGGAGGTTCGGCAGGATGAGGGATATTTAAGAGCGGTTTTTCATGGTTGTAAGCCGCACTCGGCCTCCTAGTAGCAACTCTGTGCAGAATCACATCCCCCACTCAGCAGAGCTTATTCCGGCTTCGAACTTGCTTTCAAAGTGTTGCATCTCCCTACGAACTACAACTATGACCCCCCGAACTACATCTGCGACTTTTGAACTACGCCTACGCCCTTCGACCTTCGTCTACGACCAGTACACCCTCTTCAAAGCACACCTACTCGTACATCTAAGTCCTCCAAAGTTCCGTTCTTGCGCCCGACCTTCGGACGAGACTTGTGTGTCCGCGCTCAAATCACACTTCGCCTTTGCATCGTCGAGCCAGCTCCCCTCTTACCTTCCCTCTGCTTCTATGAGAAGTCGGAGTGTTCGGACAGTCCGAAACAGTCTCGTGACACCATTCCGAGAAAATCTAGTGAAGTTGTCGCCGTTCGAGCAAGCTATCACAACTACAAGCCCTCACCCCCATCAGCTTCCCCAAGAAACAGGAACTAACCCTTTTCTTCACACCCCCAAGTTAGGGTTAGGTTTCCCGAGGTCACATCAATGCCTGCCACTCCACCATGGTCGGAGTACGCGTCTTGAACTCCCTTGTCACCTTGCCCTCTTTCTGAATCGCATGCCATCCAGGATATGCCTCTGTGCACGCACAATGTAGCATCTGCGTTGATGCATACTGGAGACATGACCCCCCCTCCTTTAGCCACAGTATACTTTGGCTCTTTTTTGATATGCATCCATCTTGGACGCAGGTGTGAATGCACACCTTGTATCCCTTCATTTTGATGTGAGATCTCGAAGGAGCCATTCATTCTTCTTCTTTGTCTTCTCATGGTGGTGATCAGTCTATTGGATGATCACGTGAAGATAATCAAATACGTACCAAAATGCTTTGAGGGTAGGGGAGGTGAGAGGAGGAGAGTAGTTATTGCTGAGAGGAGTCGACGATGAAAGGCAACGATGAGTGTTTTGATATCTGATTCAACATGAGAATACCGCATGTACGTTATTGCATGGCATCTGCATCGATCATCATAGAGTGCTCAATGAAATGCAATGCATTGAACTATAGCTTGAACAGTGATCGGCTGCATTCAAGCTTTGAGCAATGTTCAAGTAGTGTTACCACTGTTTGAGTTCAGTTGTAGAGTTTGTAATCTACTCCTCATTCTACCACTGTTCAACTGTTCAAGCAATGTTTGAGCAGTGTTTGAGCAGTGTTTGAGCAATGTTCAAGCATTGTTCAGGAAATATTTGAGTATTGCTCAAGCCAGTGTTCAAGCAGGCTAATCACCAGCAATATCCCCATCCAAATTAGGGCATATACCGGGAGAATGTCGGTGTACTGTATATGCTAACACATGCCCAGACCCATCCTAAAAAGGAAGGGGTTTATTGATCTGATTATTTGACATGCGTTTATAAAACCCACATGCGGTATAAGGAGGTTTCCGGCCAACCCCTCCTATTGTTCCAACACAATCGTGACAGATCCAGCATGTCAAAGCAATCAAGCACGAACGCCTCCTACTCTACCCACGCTTCGCGTGGTGCGGCCACAGTATTGAACACAATCCCCCCCAGTCGCTGTTACAGCTTCGAGGGGGGGGG